AAAAGAACAATCTGCTTGGGAAGTCCCAGTGGGCATTTGTTTCAGAGATGTAGCTCTCTGGCTTATTTAGATATCTCTCAGGTCTCCTTACCCTCCCATTCCTGAGATATTTGTATTTGTTGAGCACATCACCTACATGGATATTGGCAATGTTAGGAGCTTATTTCACTCTCAGAATGGAATAATTCTTTTATCCCTTCAGCTTTCCTCCATATTTGTCTGCGGCAGGGAACATTATATATCATATTTAAGTCTCGATGAGGTCTCTCTTATCACCTGTAATCCTGTTTTTATCTGGCCTTTTTTTTTTTGCATTAATGCGAATAAGGACATAAGGACAGAATAGAGCGGCAAGAATGTATTGGGAGAGTGGAAGCGAATTGCATTCAGACTCAAACCGGCAACCTTGTGAGAACTCAGTAACTCTATATTGTTGCAAACATGCTGCTTACCACCAAACCATGCGGATAAGCTCCTTTGTGACATAATAAAACAATTAGAAAATACATATATTTCGAATTTAACGCTGCTCGAGTCAAACACAAATGCACTAGGCTACTGATATATGCAAATTGGAATTAGAGAACTGATCTATGTCTGTGTCACAAATGCAGAAATGTTCTATTAATACAAGGCCTCTACAGTCAGGCCAGCATAAATTATTAGCAATTTTGTCTCGAACACATCTGGTGGAACTGCTCAGGTGCACATGGTAAATGAAGCACAGGTGTGGGGAACAGAGCAAGTTTATGAATCAAAGAACAAACTAAAATAGCTTTTGTGATCACCGGTGAGAGGAGATTAAAAAAGAGGAAAGATTAAAGAAGGACATAAAATAGAAATCTATAGGGGGAAAAAAGCAAGGACATTAATAGAGGATGAATATAGGATATATAAATACTGGACTGATGCATTTTTGTTTGGGATAATATAATATTTGCCACAGTAAATTAGGTATTGTGCAGGAATTACATATTCCCATGTGCAGAATGCAATTATAATTGAATCTCTTTAAAATGAAAGACCTGAGTTCAGGGACCAAATGTAGGAATTAGTATTCTACACTTGGGATTTCAGTGGCAAGAGAGACAAAGATCCAATCACTTTTTATTCAGTTTACTGTCCCCAGATCCAACAAATGGCTTGAGAAAATATCAACCAAAAATGTGTCAATAAACATTAGCATACGACACATCAGCTGCATCTCTTTGACTGTATAAGTACTGCCATTAAATGACAAGCATCCCATATGGACAGATTTACTTGATGCAATAATCAATTCCCAAGTATTTGAAGCCATTTTCGATCATCTTCAAATATCTAAAAACACAGTATTTCAGTGGCAATTATGTGTGCCAAATACCTTTTACAAGGGCAGATGGACTCTTTAGTGCAAATCTGTGGATTAACATCAGTCCTCTCTCACTCCACAGCAAAACAATAGAACAATTCACCAAGATCACATGGCATAAGATACGTACAGAGCTACTGGGATTGGTCCCTGAGTCTTAAATGTCAGCAAACAACTGTGGAAAGATAGAGAGAAGGTGTGGGGAGAGGGCAGAACCGAAATGCCTTCTGCTATTGTTCTTCCAAAGGTCAAACCCTATCCAATCACAGAATAGTGTGACCCTCAAGATACAGGAAAAATAACAGGAATGACATCCAAGTGGAGGCTGCAAAACAAATTTGTTGGAAACATCTGTTAGAATAAAAGATATACGACCAAATATGCAAAAAGCAATTTGGATGTGCTGATCAAAGATGTCCAAACTGGGATAAAACCTCTGAGAATGATTTTCTAGTCACTAACGGGAATGGGAAGTTAGTAGCATTTGAACCATGAAGAGGAACTGCTGGATGAGATGTGATAGACTTCACTAAGTTGTGTCTGGTTTGTTTTAAAAGCAAGCGATTTACCACAATTATGTACAGCCTTTTGTGTGTGAGTTTTAAAAATGACTAGTTATTAGACGCACAAAGTCCTTTTTCCTCTGCCGAATAGCAGTTAAAACTCGCGGCTGGATGATCTGCTTGGTAGATTGATGAATAATCCATTATCTCTTCCAGGGGAGAAGCTTAGACAAATACCTGCAGAAAGGCTCTTGAGATTGACACTTCTACAAATAGTCCATTGCATCTGGATAAAGCCAGATTACAACCAAATAACATATAAGGGCATACCATGTGAAATTAAAAATGTTCTCAGTGTGGATTTAGGGATAATGTGACCTCTTCTCTAGCTCATTGGCAGCATGAGCTCAGGGTAAGGATGGAATGGATGGGCTCAAATTTGTGTCCTTTCCGTGTGATGTCATTCAGTAGTATTATTGATGGCTAAAATGCACAAAGCACGTGAAATCATAAAGAAATATAGAAAGTGATGCCAGGCGCTGAAGTGGTTTGCAGATACAGTTTTTAATGTATCACAACAATGAGCAACAAACATACTTGATGAACTATTTCCAGAAGAAGTTGTTCAAATACCATCTACAATAAACGTCATTTCAACTATGACAACAGGTCTGTGACAAAATAAAAAAGTTTCAAAACCATGTTATTACCGTAATACGGTACAGCTGAGACCTCAAACATTACAGTAACAAAAACTAATGAGACTACTCTCTATATATAAAACATCAATAACATTTTTGGTTTAGTTTATTTAAAGTTTTCGCCATAGGGGCATCTTTTTTTATTAAAACCTTGGGGTGCATTTCCTATGTTACCCAGGCGTTGAAAGTACGTATTGTGTAGAATATGATTACGCCTTGATCATCCCTTTGATATCCAGAAGAACAATCCTAATATCAACCTTTAGAAGGTTGTCCTCCTATGCTTGACACTATCCATCCGTAGAAAGGTTTTTTGGCTGCTGTGCAGTTGCAACATTTATGTACAATTACATTACTGGACCATCCTTAGTTTTTTGTATTTTCTTTTTTTTGTTTTTGGTTTTTTTTTGTTTGTTTTTTTGCTCTACCAGTCCTTTGTGTGGGAAGCATTCTGGTCCAGGCTAACACCTTAGCGCACGGTGCTAGCTGACAGCTCAGTCTCTAAATGCTGTTCCACATTCAGGGAAAGGCAAAAGCAGAGTTCTAAAAGCCTTTGGAATCAGGACAGTCGCTCATGTTTTGGACAGAGGCAGGATTGCACCTTGGGAGGCAAAGATGTCTCTTGTGAAACACAATCAAAAAGTGTCTTCAGGATTAAAAGAAGCGTTAAAATATTAAAAATCCAAATAAGAACATTAAAAAGTCCACAAAAAAAAATAATTAAAAACTGTGACATTTTACCTTAAACAGAAAAAAACACCTGTACAGCAATATAAAGTAAAATGAAATGTTACTTAATTTCATCGTTTGAAACAATTTTTAAGCATGATTTGATTTAACCTGTCAAACAGTTGCATTACATGCTACTTGTTCATCTCAGAATAGGAATACCAAAAGCAATACATTTTTGCATTTCTTCATATTAATAAATTTGTACCATGCACAGCCAACTACGAATATGTACAACAGCTTAACTTTCTTTGTTCACGAGCATTTTACTTTCATACATTAAGCCTTCTGTTACTTTGGAATGAATCACATTGTCCAACTGTATCAAACCAGAAAGTGATTCGTAAAAATTAAACACCCTTGACAGCGTTCACATTCTTTAAGTTACACAGCCAAAAATGAAAGAAAATAAAATAAAAACAGTAAAGCAAGGTGATTCGTGATGAATCAGTATTCTGTCTAGTAGGAAGCTGAAAATGTATGGCAAGCGATTTAGAAAAAACAAAACAAAAACATTACACAGTAGCAGCATAACGTCATAAGATAATACTTTGTAATCCAAGTATCACTAAATATGATGGAAAATGGTCTATGTTCATGACATTAACAGAAGTGCCCAGAGTAGAATGAAAGAAACAGCCTATCCACTATATGGCAGTGTATAGGGGTAACACTGTGTTCAGTCCTACAGAAGTACAGGGGAGAAAAAAAAAATCATTTTTATAAAACAAATGCTTTATCCCCTTTTAAAAAGCAGCTTTCTTGTTTAAAAGAAGCAAATGTTCATACCATTTTTCAACATTTTGTCCAACTTGCACTTTTTCAAGTATACAGTACTACTTTCATGGATGCACCAATTGTTAAATGTCTCTGGATTGTTCGGTGTGAAACGTCTAACAAATGTGGACCAATCTGCTGCTGAACTACACACAAATAATAATTCAAACAAATGAATAAACACCGAAAACTGATGTCTATTAAATTAAGACATGGCCTACCTCAAATAATAATAATAAAAAAAGAAAGAAAGAAAAACTGAAATCAAATAAGTGCACTATAGTCCAGACACAAGCAAGTACCGTAACAGTATAGCAATTCACAAATGAAAAAATGTCCTATTCACATAATGTTCAAGAGTCTATCAAAACTAGAATTATTACCTCTTCAGAAAAGGGTGTGATGAGAGGTAAAAGAAAGAAGGTAAGAGTTGGCACAGATTATTAGTATATTCTACAAGAAAAAAGGGTGTTGTATATAAATACAGCTTGTGGCAATACAAACTGGCAAACACAGGGGCATAACACATGACTTCACCATTCTAAATTCCCTCAGTGGTAAAAGCATACTCTCTCGTAGGGCAAACTAAAAGAATATGCGCGTTGTCCTGTAACAGTTATATTGTCTCTTGGTACACTACACACATCAAGGAAATGCCTCCAATAAAGCTTGACATGTTTTGGTAAAAGCCATTTATAAGCAGGCTTCGTTGCTGTTTCAACAAATGAGAAATGTTATGTTCTGACCTGAGAATTTAAAGCTACTGAATTACACCTAACTAAACGAAGAGAAATTCTCTTTGAAAGTTCTGGATCATTATCCCATACAGTACATGCTAGCATTTGGAAATCAATCCAGCTGAGGTGCAATTTGCTATCGTGAGAATTTTTGGCTTGAATCAAGCTCCAAAAGAACTTGTGAGAGTTTTCCTATTCCATGTTTGTATACAATATAAGCTCAGTCAAGCATCTGCAACAGTTCTGTCCATAACAAAAATCAATCATTTTCTTGCCAGCATATCAATATGGGAAAAACAATCCTGAGTCAATCTTTTGGTACTGTAATTTTTTGGGTTAGAGAAACTTTGGAACTGCAGTTAAAAGTCTTTTTTCGTTTAAGCAAGGAATCCGTTTTTCACACCTACACACTGAACATATCCATTCTGATACTACTGAAATTGCCATCTAGGCCGGACGCCGCCTTAGCCTTGACTTCCAACGTGTTATCTAAGTCATCCAGCTTCTGGCTTAACTCACTGTCAGACTCGTCTGAACAACTTTCGGTGGGTAGTGAGGTTTGAACCCCTGAGGTGCTGCACGAAGTTGAGGTAACCGTTGAAGGCAAGGAAAGGGGAGGAGAAGAAGCAGATGGGCAGGACGCAGCTTTCCTGGCTGAGGCCTGGAAAAGAATATTTGGCCAGGACTTCATGGACAAGTGAGAGAGATGAGGCAAGGTGTTATTAGAAGAAGCTGCAGACTGCGAGGTAGATGTGGTGTTAGGACAAGGGGAGCAGACTGAGTGAGGTAATAATCTAGCATGCTCTTTGGCATTTCTCATTGCTTGTTTGATTGTTTTCTCTTTGTGCAAGCTCGACTGAAGGTGTTGGCCAAGTGCTTCGTTCCCGCTGACGGACACGTTGCAGGCTATGCAATTGTACTTGCTCACGGCCTTGCGATGCACTGTCTCTTGTGGATCGATAAACGGGTGACCAAAGTAACAGAAGGACTTCTGGTGGCGAGCTGCTGAGTCTTCATCAGCAAAAATCATCTGGCACTTTCTGCATATAAACTCGTGTTTGATGGACGGAACGATAAACGCATCTGGAAAGCCTGAACTTTTGGTATTCGTTCGGGGTTCTTCATTTGTGCTTTCTGTTAAAGAGCCTTTATCATCCTTAGTTTCAATAGCCTCTTTTGGTTTGAGAGAGTTGCTTTGTGCACTCATTGACTTCATAGGGGGCGTTTTATGCTGCGGTTCACTTTGCTTCTGCTGCTGCTGATGCTGCTTCTGTAAGGAATCCTGGAGGGACTGCTGGTACTGTTGGTACTGCTGCAGCAGGGCAGTTGGAGAAAGCCCAGCAATAGCCTGCGGCAGTGCAGGGCCGTAGGGGAACATGTTCTCCATTCCACACAGAGGAGGGAAGTATCCCCCCTGCATTCCGCCAGGAAGTTGGGGTGAGAAGCAAGATGCAAAGCCAGGGATGAAATAAGGCAAGAACTGTCCCCCTAGGAAGGAGCCTGGGTCACCAGCAATGGCATTCTGAAGGGCTTGCAGTTGTGCTGGGTCCATCTGTGTCTCACTTCCCAATTTTCCTAGCACTGAAAGTGGCGGCGAGGGCTTTTCCCTTTTCTTCACAATTGGGGTCTCGGGACGGGCAGTGTCAGCTTCTCTTTCTTTCACCTTAGGCTTCTCTAACTTCTTGTCTTTCTCAGATTCTTTTATGTGCTGCTCAGTCTGATTTGCTGCCAAAGGAGTGGGAGGAAGAGGAAGTGCGGCGGGTTGAGGAGGAGGAGGAGGAGGTGTCTGAAGAAGAGTCTTGGTTGGGGTACTGCTGAGAGACATGGCAGGAGAAGGGGTGGCTGGAGTAGGGAACCCAAGCATGCCAGCACCAGGAGACGCTAAAGCTGAAATACAGTGGTATAGATAATATTGAAACATTTGACTGCAAAATAACTCCTCAACTTTGCAAGACATTATTTTGGGGCTATCTCTCTGTTATGGAACCAAACTGTTACAAGCACTTTATCAAAAGAAGGATACAACAAAAAGATAAAACCATGAAAATAAGCACACAGGCATGAAATCAACTCAACTTTAGGGGTCACAGTCGAACTCGAAGTATTCCACATTGTTACAGTGAATGCATGCATTAAGTCCTTAGGAAATAAGTGAATGTCACAGTTCTTCAAAGGAAGCAAATGGGGCAGTAGCATTTAATGCATTAACTGTTCATTGAGCTACTGCACTGTGTTTGTCATACTAACTCACCAGGTGTATTTGGTGGAAAACCTGGAAGGGAGGATGGCCCATTGACACCAGGAAGAAGCACTGGTGGGAGACCAGATATTCCTGGGTAGGCAGTTGGCAGGCTAAGGCCATGAAGTGCATTATTGTCCACTGCAGGTTGGTGCTGGGCTGGCAAGTTGAGTACATCGGTTACCTTCAAACGGTCAAGTTCTTGTTGAGCCATAAGCTGGCGGACAGTGGTAGGTGCAAGATAGTCTTTTTCTCGATCAACCTGGTTGCCCAGGATTTCCTGCACTTTCGCAATGTGCTGCTTTGAAAAGATATGATCACGAATCGATAATCTGGCTGTATACTTCACGCCACATAATATACACTCAGGCCTCGGCCCATCTGGGGAGCCCTGGCTTATCATAAATGGCTTTCCAATGTTTATTTTGAACTTCTTTTCTTTTGCACGGGCATTCTGGAACCAGACTTGCACAACCCGTTTTGGGAGTCCTATTTCATTGCCCAGCATTTCACACTCTTGCATAGTAGGTGTGCGGTAGTCACTGAAACAAGCCTTTAGGACTTTTAGCTGTAGGTTGCTCATTTGGGTTCTAAAACGTTTGTGGCCTGGTCTCTCTCCACCAGCTTTTGCAGACTTGAAGGGATTTGTACCTCCAAATGGACTGGGTGAACTTGGATCAGCCAAACTTGAAGTCTCGCTCTTGTCTGCATAATCATCTAGTTCATCATCTCTGGAATTGAAGAAGTCACTGTCTTTGCCAGAGAAACTTAATGCTGGGCTAACCATGTTGAAATGGAATCTATCCTCATTTATGTCAGAGATTTGTGCTAGGCTCATTCTGTTCTCAATCATTTTTTCACCTCCATTTACTGTGAGATTCTCAACTTCATTATTGGTCTCATCTCCAGTTGTAGCATCACTCACAGCTGTGTTAATTGAGGAGGTTTCATCAAAGTCAATTTTGTTGGCATCAAAAGAGGCCTCTGCAGAGCTCAAGTTAAGCCCCTCAAATTCATAACTATGTTCTGCTTTAACGGATGGTAAGCTCAATACATTTTTTAGTGCCATCTCGGAAGGTTTAACTGGAGTGGAAGATGCAGTTGGAGGCTCACTGTCATTCATCTCAGTCTTTGTGGTCATTTGTAGGTAGTCAGCAAAATTATACTTATTGGGACTTTGACCTCCTTCATCTTGAGGCATCATTGGACTTGGGGGCAAACTAAAGCCTGCCTGTTTTGCCTCATGCCAGTGTCTTGAGCGAATGTGGCTATCAAGAGCTGACTTGGCCTTGAACAGTGCTCTGCAGAAGGGACACTTTTTGTGAGTCTGAGAGGGCCCAACTGCTCTAAATTGTCCCTTCCTCTCTCTGGCTCGGGTGTTCTGAAACCATACTTGGACAACTCTTTTCTTCAGGCCAACTTCACGAGCAATATGATCTAACATCTTTCTTGTTGGGTTTGAATCGAGCAAATATTTATCATATAGGATCTCAAGTTGTTCTGGAGTAATGGTAGTCCTAAGACGTTTATCTCTGTGCTGATCTTCTGCACTATTAACACCATCTTTTTCATGAGATTGATCCTCTTTTTCATCTAATTTACGTTTCACAGAGTTAGAGTTCACAGCAAGGCCAGAGTTGCTTGGAGTTGGCATCTGGGATAGGGCTCCAGACAGGAGTTGCCCAGTCATAAGAGGGTTATTTGGATCAAAGATCATATAAGGCATATCCAGCGGCCTTTCTAAAAACTGTGAGTGTAAGAATTGGTTCTGGGCAGCCAGAAAATGCATGTGCTGGTGCTCCTGCCACAGCTCTACTGTTGGGAAAGCAATTTTGCACTGATCACAGTGGTACTGTAACATTTGAGGTGGTAGGCTATTGTTAAGAGAGGACAGTGCAATTGAAAGAGGACTTGATGGGACAGTCGTAGACTGGGGCTGGGAATGTGGTCTTGACAATTGTGGTTGAGGTAATTTTTGTGGTGGAGGTTGTGGGGTTGAAGCCTTGGAAGATTTTAACTCATTTAGGTTCTTGGGAGTTTGTAAAGAGGCAATCTCTCCCAATTTAGTTTTTTCATGGAGGAGCTCAGGTTTGGGTGAGGACTTCCCTACATCAGGTCGAGGTGAAGGCATTAAGGGAGAGCTGGAGCCAGAGCTGCTTGCTGTTACAACAGAGTTTATTGCTGACTCTGTTGGCTTTACTGAACTTTGCTCATTGTTCTCTGTGAATTCCTCTGAGTGGTTTTCATCTCCAGCTTCATCATCCTCATCTTTGTAGCATTGCTTCTTCTGGTGAGTAATGAGGTCAAAAATTCGGGGGAAAATGACACTGCATTTCTTACATTGGTACTGCATGTTGTTGGTCCTAATGTATCGTTCATTTGTTAGTTCTTTCTTTTCGCTGTCTTTTGTATCTGTTTGGTTCTCATAGCTCTTGCGGGCCTTCTGACGGGCATTTTGGAACCACACCACAATCACTCGCGTTGGCAGGTTGAGTACCGTTGAGAGCTGCTCAATTTCATCATCCTTGGGGTAAGCATTGGCATCAAAGAAATCTTGGAGTACTCGCAGTTGATAGTCTGTGAAACGTGTTCTTGATGACCTTCTGTTCGTCGAAGCATCAGTTCTGTAGTACTCTAGCATGTTCACTTGGGATTCAAGTCTGATATCTTCCAGTGTGGTCATGGGTGGAATGTTAAAATTGTAAGGGGAATCTTTGCTTCTTTGACGTTCTTTGAAGAGTGTATTACGGAACCAGTGCTTTATGACTTTCTGAGGGAGGCCAGATTTATCTGCCATTTCTTGAATCTGTTCTTCGTTGGGAGAATTATTGATGTCAAAATGAGCACGGAGGATTTTTAGCTGATCATCTGTGATTCTGGTGCGAGGACGCTTGAACTGAGACTGCCGCAGGAAGTTTGGATCCAGTCCCAGTTGTTGTTGACATAACTGTGTGAGGTCAGAAGATAAAGAGTCCATTGTTGGAAACTGCAGCGCAAGCTGTGGGGGTAGCCCAGGGTGCTGCACTGATTGCATCATCAGTGGTGGGAAAATTGGCAGGTCAAGAGAAACAGGGAGCTGCACTTGAGGAGGTGCAGTGGGTGGTGGAGGCGGCGGTGGTGGTGGTGGAGGAGGCGGTGGTGGCGCTTGCTGAGGAGTTTGTAGAGGTGCAGGAGATGGTGTCTGCGATTTTCCTACAGACGTAGTGGCAAGGAGAGCGGTCACTGGGGCAGGAGGAGGAGGAGGAGGAGGAGGTGGTGGGGGGGGTGTTTCTGGAGATGCTGGGTTTATGGGATACAACTTGTCATACGCCTCCCTGTACTGCTGTGCAAACTTTTCCAGCTCCACGTATGGAAAGAACTGCCCATGCACATGTTCCTGATGGCTTTTGAGAATAAGCATGTTGGAGAAGAACTTTCCACACAGCCCACACTCCAGTTTGTCAGTCAACACTTCCTCTCTATTCTTTTTCTGGGTTTTCTGTCTATTCTCATTGTACTGTATAACCAATTCAAAGCCAAAGTTCTCAAGTAGTGCTTTAGCAGCATTACCTCTAGCTCCTGAGATGATGCGTGGTGGAGGAATTAGAGGTTCTGAAAATTTAGGCTTTCTTGAATCTTTAGTGTCTTTTGCACTGTCAATATCATTAGCTATATCCAGCTTTGCTTTGCTCTCCTGCTTTTCTAGGTACTCTTCAGCATCTCTGGACATTTGAATCTCAGACAGGGCAATGTGGTTGGACTCAGTTTTTGGCTTGTGACTCTGCTGCTGTGCTTTCTGCTGCTGCATTTGAGACTGGGAGGCCTGCTGCTGAGCTTGCTGCTGAGAAAGTTGAAGCTGTTGCTGTTGGCCCAGCTGATGTTGTTGCTGCATCTGCTGCTTCAGATCTTCCAGGAATGATCCAGTCATACCAGGCATCCCAAATGCAGCTGAATGCAATGCAAGCTCAGGGCTGATGTTAAATTCAGCACCAGGGATGTAGAATGGGAAGAGGAACTGGGGCTGCTGGAATTGCAGTAGGGCCTCTGGTGTCATTGGGAAGTGTGGGAAGAAAGCTGGATTCAGAAACTGTGGCTGAAAGAATGCAGCTTGCTGCTGGAGCTCATGCTGCAGTTGCATCTGAAGCTGTGCTGGTGACTGGGTTGGTGGGTGGGTAGGCTGCACATGCATGTGATCAGTAGTTTGTTTCATGGTAACTTCTTTGGCATCTACAGTGTTTTCTTTGTTAGAGGGTACTGGTGCATTTGCAGAATCTGCACTTCCCTGATTGAGTGGAACAGGGCTTTTAGATGTAGAACTTCCGCTGCTACCACCCCCAGTACTAGTACTACTCTCCATTTTGGCAGTTCGTGCTTTTGTCTGATGAAGTACAGACCTCATGTGAATCTCCAGGGTTGAGCTTTGGCTATAAGCAACGTTACATATATTGCATTTGTATGGTTTGTTGTCAACATTGTTGCTGGTCTCCTGGGGAACTGGGCTTGAGGCCTCTTGGATTACTTTCTTTAGCTTATGCAAATGTGAGACAGAATTGTAGTGAACAAGGAGAATGTTCTTTTGGGTGAATGACTCCTTGCATACTGTGCATTTGTATGGACGTGAGGGGTCTAAAAACTTTTCCATGGTGAAATTTGGACCTTTCCTAAAAGGCAAGGTCCGCTTTGGCTCTGAGCCCATGTCATCAAGCAAGGAGCTGCTGTCACTTCCAGTTGGACTGGCCTTCCCTTCTTGGTCAAGTTCCTCATCTTTGTCTAACTCATGCTCAAAGGCTTGTGCCTCTTCCAGAGCCCGTATCTCACATTCAGCAATGTCTCCATTTAGGGGCAGGTTCCCACAGAGTTGCTGTACTTCTGCTTCAGTCAGCTCAGGGTGACCAGTCTCCAAATGCTTTCGAAGGGCAAGGAATGTCCTGAAGCTGCGCTGGCACAGACTGCACATGGTGGCTGCACGGATGGCATGGTACTGGGAATGTATCTCAAGCTTCTGCATAGTCTTGAAAGCCAGGCTGCAATGGTTGCAGCGGTATTTGTAGACGTGGCGATCAGAGACTGAGAGCTGCTGCCGCTTCTGCAGATCACTTAGATGCTCCTGCAGGGAGTCTGGGCTCTTCCTGTCTTGACCACTTGCTTTCTTCCAGTCAGGGGCCTCAGCAGCCTCTTTTGGTGGTTTGAGTTCCTCATTGGCAAGTTCAACCTCAATTTTTTCTTGGCCTATGCTGTTTTTCAAATCCTTAGAGCTGTTTCCTGTTGAAATTCAGAAAAAGGAAAGATTTTAGAAGTCTTCCAAAAACATTGAATTATAAAAGACTATTATTATGACTTTTCTAAGGAATCCTCTGAAATGCCATTCATACATTTCAGATGACACTGTGGCTGCATAAATGTGCTTACCCATGGGTTTTCCAGATCCCTCAGGGATAACAGCTGAAGAATCCATCAAAGATGGGACTTTGTCTTGTAATGATGTAGACAGCAAGGAATTGGGCACTGTAACATCTGGGCCTGCAACCTGAAGAAAAAAAATACATCAATCCCTTAAGAGATTCCAATGAACATAAGATAAACAATAAACACAAATATTTACCAACATAACAGATTTATTCAAAAATGTTAAGCTTTAAATCAAGTACAGTTATAAGGACTTTCTAAAGATATTTTTCAAAACTGCTCTTTTGTGATTTTATAGGAGGAGAACTTTCAAGTTTATAACATATTCTTTGGAGAATATGCTAGGCCTGGGAAATGATTATTCAAGTTATTCCCTGCCAGCCCTGACAGAGTATGATCTAGTTAGTAAGGCTGATAGCTTAGGCATTTTTTTTCTTTTTTGTATTTAAAGGAAATGAATGCTGCACATACTGTCATAATTAACTTCTCCACACAGTCTGGAGCCACGCTATGGAGGTGGGTGAGATGCAGCTGCAAGTGAATCTTGTTGCTGAGGACATCCTGACACAAGGGGCAGCTGATGACCGGCTGCATGGAATGCTGGGACATGATGTGCAGCTGTAAACGGTTTGCATCCTTGTTACTGTAATTACAGTATGGGCACTGTTGCACCTGAAAAGACAGAATTCATCATAGCATTGCCATGCATTACAGCACTGCTTCGACTGACTATACATGAGTGACATGATGCCTTAAGGAAATCAAATTCCAAACAAGACTCCAAATGTCTATAAAATCGAATTTCCTCCAATTCACTTTAGTTTTCATTTCATGTAACTTAATTTAAAACAGTAAATGAACTAACGTGAATGTCTGGAATTTCTAATCAGAAAATTACAAAGGATGTGGATATTAACCATTTCAGACTATGCCTGGTCCTCGTTACATGAAGTACGTTTAAACTGAAACTTCTCACTGCCTGTTTTAATATAGCCCTTTCAGAAATGGTTCAGTAAGTCCAGTACCACTCAGACAGTGATTTTTATATCATTTAAAAAGTGAATGAAAATAAACTAATCCAAGAATTTAATTTATACACAAGTCTCAGTCTTGTTATTAAGTCTAACCTAAACTAACCTGCTCATTGGGCAGTGTCTTCTCTTCAGCTGATTTGGGCCTCTTGGGTGGAGTGTCATTTTCTTTCTCCTGCTGAAGCAACCGCTTCCCTGCTGTAGAAGTCCCCAGGGTTTCCTTAGCCAGTGTATTAATTCCTGTGAATAAACAGATAGGATATCTTCTGTCACAAGCTTATTCTGGACTCCTGATCCTGAAAATCTTCTGACAGAGGTACAATGACCCTCACTTTAATAAGACTGCACATTTGGGTAGCATAAGCTTATTGTTAGGAATGTAGATCTGATAAAAGGTTATTGGGGTGACTCACATTATGTGAGACTGAGATTATGTAGCAAATGAAATGGACATCATATATTTAATAAGAAAAAAAATCTTCAAAAAGCAGAAAGTAAAGAAGAATTTAAATTGAATTACACCACAGACAAATTGTGTGTATTGATTTGGAGCATGACTACTAGAGGATCCAGCAAAAAAAATAAAAAATAAAAAATCTATATTCACAAATGCAAGCGAATGAAGATATTCGCAAATAAATAGAGGTTTGAATTCATTGTTATTGCTTTGCAGGTCACGGTACCATTATGCAGTTCATTTGGGGGATATAGACCAAATCACCATTCCCAGCATCCCCTTGAATATCCATGCCTCACACTCTGTATTAGAGGGGGTTGCCATGTTATTTCCATTTCAGCTGAGTTCAATTCAGCAAATCAGCCCCCAGATGTATTTAGAGTATGCTGCACAGAGTGATAAATCTTTCATTACCCCTGTATCCTCAGATGCAGACAGTGTCCCAGCCTCCTCAGTCAATGCAATTTATCCTCTCGCTGCATATGCAGTGCACAAAGAACGCCCTGCTCGCTGTTCTTCGCTCTAATCTGGTCACTCTAGGCTAAATGTGTGTATTACTCTTATGAATCAAAGCTTAGCTAAGCAGTCATCGAAAATGGATGGTGAAAAAGATGTTGGAAAAAAAGGCAAGTATTTTTTTCTGCTCTGTATTTATTTAAAGTATATTTCATTATCTGCTGTGTGTTCATGCATTTTAATTCTTGGCATTACAAGACATTCTGCTTATTTTATTGTGGTCTTACATATCAGGAGCCTGACATATTAGCCTGCCAAAGAAAGTGACACAAGAGGGGGAAAAACCACAAGGGCACAATATAAATTTCCAAGAGTATCAAGAGTATGGTCTGCAGTCTCAAATAGCTAGGTAATCTTTTTTTCTCTCTTGGCCTTGATATCCCTGCTGCGTTTAGGGGTGGTGGGGGGGGGAGATGTCACATGCATTTCATGACAAACAGAAAACCTCATTTGTGAGGCTCCCCAATCTCATTGCTGTACCGCATCATCTGACCTTTTTTCTCCTCCCTCAGTTTATTACGAGGATTTCTAATTTTAACTTTCAATTTTCGCCATCTTCCAGTCAATCTGCAACTAAATTATTTCCCGGGTGAGGAGGCGACTCCTGCACAACCGGGTGCAAATACATTTCACAATGCAATGAGGCCCCTTCCATTGATTGCCATCATATTGAATGTAAATGTATGGTCTGGGGGCTTATCTGCTCTACATGAGGATCCATCTATATGATTTATTTTCTTAATCAACTCTCTGCTTTCATAAACATTTAAAGTGCATTGCAGATGGACACACTAGACCCTCAGAAAAGAAATAGGCACAGAAATGTATGAAATGCCTTTGCAGCATTTAATATTATTGAACACATTTTCTGCTGTGCACAAGGCTTTGCTGAGTTGTCAACTAAATTAACTATTAAAAAATTCTAAAGATGGCATATATATGTACTGTATATATATGTAAAATATCTACACACAATAGTCTTTATGTTATGTAATATTGTGTCAGGACTCAATGGCTAGACTCTTTGTGTAATCTGTACCTCACACTAAATGAGAATGCCCTTTTTCTTTGTCTACAGACACACACACAGTGCAATGAAGCAATAGAGAAAATAATTGTGACACCACAGCCCCCCTTCTCATCCGAATGACAAATGTCTTTGAGAAGCAGGACCTTGCTTGATTAGATAAATCAAACGGTGATTTATGACAGTCAAGCTGTTTGCATTACAGGGACCAGAGCCGCAGACTGGCCACCCATCTTTATTTACAACTGTCAATGGGATTTTGAAAACCATGCATCCTACGCAAGGCTTCTTTAAACACCTCTGATAATTCAACCAAACAACAAAAACCTTGCTAATGTTATATATCTAATGTTCCTCACTAAGAGAGAGGCCATTTCTAGTCCTGTTCATTTTCAATGTTCGATTTTCTCCATTTTATTTCTCAAAGTGCAATCTAACACGACTAAAATTTCATATACACAAAAACAGCAGCTCAGCCTCCCTTCGAAAGATCTGCAAAATAGTACTGTGCTTGTATATGACAAGCTAGTCTATTTCAAAATTTCTTTCCCCTGCAAACACCAATTACACAGGACTTGCTTGATAAAGGCATCATAAATTTACTATTCAATTTACTGGTCTTCAGTCCAGCCAGTCTGGCTGAGGTGACAAGGCAATAAATAAAGCAGGACCCTGGGATGCTCCGAGAACTTTAGTGATTTACAAGGACAAGAGGTTAAGGTTACGCATTAGTGTGACCTACAGTTCAGCAGATAACATTTGAATACCACACTCTAAATTCTCGGCTTGCACAAAGCAGCCCCGCTTTCTCTGTGCTCTAGTAAAAAATAAGGCATCTGAGTCCATCAGCTTTGCCATCGCACTTCAGACGAGGTGTAAACCGACGGATGTCATATTTGGCAAATCCTACAGGACTCTCTGAATTAATTAAGTCAGTAACAGAAATCATAGCTGTAGGGCTTCAATGAAATATGCAAATACTTTTAATTTATTTTAATCAAATATCTAGAAAGACAGAAATGTAATAAATGTTAATTTCCGAGCTGGAAACATGCAAATGCTAATGGTAAATATGCAGAATTTGATCTGTATTGCATTTTATTTAATTCAGCAGCATTATTTTAAATTTCATAAGGAGCTGATTTGAAAACAATATTTAACTTCCCTGCTAATTTACAGCAGGTATGCAGAAAATGTTCTTAGCAATAATGACAGCTAATTTTCATCTTTACTTGTGTTTGCTGAATTATCCCTTTACCCTAAAGCCAACACACTGACATGCTTCTATGCTACATCTAAACAGAGCACAAAGTAATCTGGAGTTGATCCAGATTAAGACACTTGCATGGAAAATGCAATTTGGATTATAATTAATCCACAGTGACACTAGATTAAACGACAAAGTAAATGGGCTATTTTGAGAGATGCTGCCTGTGAAGATGAATATTGTGAATATCTCTACGTATAATCTTTAATATGTAGGAGTATGGTGTTTCATATTCAAACCCACATTAGGGATTTATTCCTTTGGCCCCAAAACACATTTAACATATGGGTTCAACAGGGCAACCCATTCTGACCGCTCCTCAAAGTAATGGATTAGAAAAAAAAAAGAAAAGAAAACAACAGCCATTTGGGAACGGATATTTTCTAATTTCAATTTAAATACTGCAGCCTTGAAAAAGCGAAAAAAAACAACCATCGCAAAAGTTAGCATGTATATATTCACATTAAGGTTTAAGAAAGCTAGTTTAAGTAGGATCTGCATCTTGACCGCAGCGTTAAATGGCGCTGCATGTAATAGGTCATGTAAATGCATTGAGTACGAGCTGCCTCAGACAAGCCTGTCATGGCTATATGGATAAAAGATAAACGACTGGCTAAACTAACAGGCTCTGTCCTGTTTCAGCATTTCCTCTGCTCCATTGAACCCAACATTATGTAGCTAGGTATGGTGTGCATGAAAAGACGCCTAATGTAATATTCATTTCGACCATATATTTCCATCTCATACATGACAAAAGCACATATGAATTCTTATTTGGCAAATCAAATATAACAGAGCCTTAGGTAGTGATGCCAGATGCTAGCTCCAGGGGCTGTTTCCTGATCTCAACACAACGCTGTTTTGTAAGGATTGTTGCCCTTGCTAATGTGCTACCAGTCAGATGTGTACGCAGATCTGCAGTTCGAGGACAATGAGCTCTGATAGGTGGTGCATTGCTTGAATTAAAAAGAAAGGTTACAAAACTATACACTTGAGCGCTATCTAATCCTATGCTTATACAAAATTAATATGTCATCAGAGGAATCGCAAGAACAGCAAAGATTAATGAAAGGCGCTTAAAAATTACAAGTGCACAAACTGATTTGATTAAAAAAAATAATCTGGGTGGTCATTGCGGAATATTCTTTGCCTTTATCCACATCTCTGCCATCAGATGGCTATGATTAAAATGGGTCAGCGGGAGGCTACTGATAGCATTCACATGCAACCCACACATGCAGCTGTTAGTATCAGGAAAAGCCCCATTGGAAGAGAACAGAAGAGCAAAACAGGTAGGAGCAGTGTGTGTTAGTGACTAAGTGACACCGGAGAGAGGGTACTAGGGAAAAAGAAAAGACCAAAACTAAAGGTCTTACTGGAGTCCTTCTCTGTTGTGTTGCCTTCTATGGCGTCCCTCTTGCTCGAGTCTTTGTCCTCGGCCGCGGCCAATGAGGAGGCTCGTGGGGATTCCTCGCTGTCTTCACCTGGTTCTTCTACAATTGAACACAGGAAGGGCACTTGGTTACCCACTAGAGGTTAGGGTGACTGCTTTTGAATCGTCTGCCGTGTGTGTGTGTGTGTATACAAAATATACCACAAGACACTGGTGCATGGGGGTCCTTCTGGTTTCATTAAACTCGGGACACTCTGAAATATGAATGTTCTTCACACACCTCTCCAGATTGTTAGCACTGGGCAGATTACATGGAAATTTTTCTGTAGGCTCAACCACCCCTGCCCCCCCCCTCGTGTTTAATAATTCTGTGTATCTTTGCAGTACTGCCAGTGGATTAATCTGTTTATGCTGTTAGGTGATAGGTCGAGGCCGTGTGCCTCTAATCCCTGAAAGGCCTACTGTTCCCTTTCATCCAGAGAGCATTTGTCTCTCACTGCGCTGATGTCACATTTTAATGAATTTTTAGCAGGCTGAGTAATGCCAGATAACCACTCCTGTCTTTCCCCCTCCACCCCATGCAGCTTCCATCACACGACACACGACGGGGGAAGAAAGAAAGAGAGAGACAGAAAGCGAGAGCGAGGGGAAGAAATAAACATATTTCAGAAGACCCCGCGAGAAATTAAATAAATTAGGATAACATGAGGCAGGAAAATGGCGTTCAAAGTGCTGCGCTCATCCATTTTATAAAACCTTAATAACCATATAAATTGACCATGAGGAGGCAAAAAGGTCACCGGTATATTTGCATACAATCACTCAAGTCATTGTTTGGTAAGCAGAGGGGCCCTGACTCTGCAGATACATGATATAATTAACGCTTTAAAACTCCCCACACGGCGCTGGCACCGACGTTTTAAGTGCAATACATTAAGTGGAAATTATATACAGCATGAAATTTTCATGGCAGATGCTGGGAGTGATTGAAAGGAAAAATTGTGCTGCACTCTAGTCCTGATGTTTTATTAATAATATTCTGACAACAGGATGAAATATCTCCTGTCACTGCTGGCAGCCGGCTGCAAAAATTGCTATTTTGGCGCACATGCGGTGACGGTGTGCTCTAATACATCCTGCAACAAAGGCACTGTCTGTGTGTGTGTGTGTGTGTGTGTGTGTGTGTGTGTGTGTGTGTGTGTGTGTGTGTGTGTGTGTGTGTGTGTGTGTGCGTGTGTGTGCGCGCGTGTGTGTGTGTGTGTATGTAAGACAGTTGGGGGGTATCTTTAGATGTACATGCCGCATTTCTACAAAAAATAAATGTCATAAATTGCAGCGTTTGTGCTTTAGGATAGAAAATGCTGTGGCGTCTTTTCCATGAATATACAGATTTTTTTTTTAAATATATATATTTTTTAATGTATATATTATTACTACTACTATTAAAATTGTAAATAATTATAATACATTATAAAATATTATAAATAATTATATTAAATGTATATAAATGACTATGCAGAAATGTATCCTCAAAAAGATGACATGAAAAACATGTCTGACTACACTTGTTGTAATGTTTGTAATGATGTTTTTGTCTGACACAATATAATATAATGTAATTTTGTTTTTAGAAAATATTGAATATAATTACAAAACACAATTAATTAGCTAATCATACAGTGATTGCAATTTGAATCAACTGGAAGCCCCAATTCTGTAGGCATTAGACATATAATTATTCAACCACAATTATCTTGGTGTAATTAAAAAAAGTCTAAGCAAATAAAATAATATTAAAAATACTGCCATTAAAAATAATTTAACTTAACATACCACTAAGCTACACTTAGTATGTCTCTCGCTCTCTGTGCCTCACTTCCTTTCTTTTGCAGTAGAGGCAGGACTGGGGGTGAGTGTTGTGGGGGAAGGCGTTGTGGGGCAAAGGGGCTCTGGACGGAGCTTAAGCCAGTGTCAGGACAGAGGGCTAATCAGAGAGAGAGAGAGTGCTCTGCCTCAGTAGGCAGATGGGGGTTAGGACCAGCTGGATGTCTGTGATCATGACCAGATTTCAGGTCGGTTAATAAAAGAGACACACAAACACACACACACACGCTCATACACAAACACCACAGCACAATGTCACACCCTAAGGGTACAGGGGCCAGGCTGTGGCACCTCCCACTTCTCTCGCCCCTTCTCCTCCTCCCTCCTCGTCCTCAGCGTGAGGCGCTCTCTTCAGTCGGCTAGGTTTACTGACCCAGTCCCCCTAGCTGGGAAATGAAGTGTCAAAGTGCTAGTGAGCATCTCTACCTCGAGGGGGCATCAAATTTTTAAGGCGATCGTGGAATGCATTAATAAAACATGGAGTGTCACGAAAAAGAACAGGGCGAATTATGAAGGTAGTAACAGAAGGAATAAGGGAAGAAAAGGATGGGTCGCTATCATCTGGGTCTCATCAGACGGCATTTTTTTCTCTCTTTCCTTCCACTGTCCTTCTCTCTCTTCCTCGTCTTTTAGCAGGGTGTTCTGCAGTTTTTCTGGTATACATTTCAAGAGCGAGAGAAACTCCCAGACATGCTTTCCTATACATCATAGCGGTGTCTGCCCCGCGCCTGACCCTGGCAACAGTTTGAGTAATCTGAATGCTTTACAGAGGCAGCGTGTCAGCAGCATTGGAGGGGTGCGAGTAGGGTTCGGCAGACTTTCTGCCCATCAAACTTAATCGCAAACAGCAGAGCCATAGACAACTTTTACTGCCCCCGCCATCCCTTTCAAGCGAAACCCACAAACACATCAACCACACATCTCCCACGGCTCTCTGTTCGCCAGTCTCCTGTGAGACCTGCTCTGATGTGGGATGATCGGCATGCTGGAGGGAGACCGGGGTCAAGAAGGCGTCGCAATTAAAGCAATGCTGTGTTTTGG